GACTCTCCCATGCAATTCTGTCTTCTTCTTTAATGGGTCTTTCAATTCTGGCTTTATGTCACCTTGATGAGGACTTTGCCCTGAGGCTTTTGGGGAGGAGGGCATACTGGGCATACTGGGAAGGACCAGGATCTGGATGGGAAAGCTTTGTGAATTACCTGTTCACCCTGCAACCTCTTTTCTCCCACACACACTTTTTTCTTTTTTTCTAGTCCATTCCCCTTGAAGTCTTTAGTTTTTTTCATTTCCTGGGAATGAGCAATTAAGAAGATCAGGATTTATTTTTTTTTCCCTCTCCACAAAGCTTTGTCACGTGCTCCATCAAACTTACAGCAACTTACAAAGAAAAATACCCCTGGGAGGGTTTAGATGCTCTTCAGGATTTTCAGCCAGCATCTTTGCTTTGCCCGTGTGCACAGTGTCCTGGAGTTGATAGGAGGGGAGAAAGGAAGAAAAAAGTGAGGAGGTGGGGGAGGAGGATGGAGTGGGAGAGAAGAATACCAAGTGCTCAGGCAAAACAAGAGACAAATAAGTTCCCCCACCCTTATGCTTCTTCCTTTCTCTACCTCCAGTATAAGATGTGCCATCCCTAGACAGGGTAATTTCTAACAGGTGGTTTTCCCCTCCAATGTTTCCTGCTTCTAATCTGGGACCAGTGCCTGTGCATGCACGTATAGATATGCATATGCCATAGAGGGAACTTACCTACGAAAACTGGTAGGCACCATCTCTGGGGACTTCTGCTGCCAGGTAAGATTTGGCTTTTCTTCTTCTCTTCATTGAGTCATCTTTCAGAGAGGATGTCCTTTAGCTGGGTTCATGGGGAAAGTCTCTGTACCGGTCTCCTGTGTCCACCTATTCCAGCAAGTGCAGCTCCTACCCCTGCGGGCTAACACGCGATGAAGGCACGTCTAAGGAGGCTTACTGCAAAGTGGAGGAGTTTCCAGTGGGGGAAGGACTTTTTTTTTGTTGCCTGGAGTTTGCATGAGTGGCAGGGGGGAGCTTCAGAAACTGTCTGACAGTGTCTCAGCCCACCGCATGCATGCTCAGGGACGGGCTCATCCTTGGACCTGACTGTGGGGCACAGCCCCGCATGTCATCCCTTGGGAGGGTGAGCGCCACTGCCACCCAAGCTGTGTCACAGGTGAGTTATGGGGCATGCTTTTAGTGGGGTAGAAAGCTGAGCCACCAGAGAGGGCTCCCGGACCCCAGCCAGCTGGAGCCAGGAACACAAGGAGGGGTCGGAGCCCCAGCGGTGGGCCCCGGTGACAGGCAGGGAGAAGGAGTGAGTGTGGCCAGCAGCTCTCCTTTGGGCAACGTCACCCGCCTGGGCTTACTCAGTTGTCGTAGGTGTGATGAGGTTTGTAAGGATCCTTTCGCTTCAGGGCACACACTTCAGTGTCTTTCTGTCCTGCTAGAATGAGTGGTGGATCAAATTCTGCCCACTATTTATTTCAGTTCTCCCACAAAATGCAATTTTACGGTGGAACTTGCTTGGTTTGATTTGATTCTTCCTAAGCGTGGTGGTAAAACACCATGTTCTTCCCTCCTTTAGTTTCACAGAGACTAAAATGTCTCTGGTTTTGATAGCTCCTGTTTTAGTCCTGTCCAAAACAACCTCTGTTCTGTGCACCTGTTTTGGGGATGATAGTACAGGATACGCTAACAGAACTAGACTCTGTTTTCACTTATATACGTACTCTTCTGTGACTGCCATAGGGTAGAGCAGCTTTTTTAGGACAGAAACCTGACTTATACAGTGCTTTCTTCAATGGCTTGCTTGCTTAATCTCTGGTGAAAGTTACAACAGGGATTTAGAAGAACTAATCCATGGAAACTCCGTTGATTAAATGTCTTTGGGGATCCGTGAGGACTTCAGAGTGCTCTGCAAGCTTCAGAAGAAGCTACCTGTAATTAGGAAACACTGCTTAGATGCTATTTGGTTGAAGGAAGAGAAAATTCATTGTCTACGGATACACATTTAACTGTTTTATGCTTTCATACACTTGCTTTTGTTCTCTCCATACGGTTACTTGCTAAATGTTATGCCAAGGCAACTGTTGCTCAGGTCTTATTTTTAAACTGTTAGTGAATAGAGAGAATGCACTTTACCCAAATAATAATATCCTTTCAGTTAGGAGTTTGTCTTCTAATAGATCTAGCTTTAAGAAATGTGTGTGTGTGTGCGTGTGCATATGCATCTGAGCATAGATACTTCTGCAGTCATACATGTGTTAGATCATGTAAAGAATGCATGGTTATATACACCTCAACTATGTGCACGCACACACACGCGCACACATATATACAGGGAGAGATGCGTAGAGGCTGCTAGATACAGAATGCTTGAATTTAGCATTGTAGCCATGAGAGGGATGAATTTGGGCCAGAGTGTTTCAGTGGTCATGAGGTGACTGCATTTAGGCTGTCTTTTTAAAGTACAAGATAGAAAATAGAGAAAAAGCCCGACCTTTCTTAAACAAGCAGTGCCGCAGACTGATTCTTTGTTGTCTGCTGAAGTGGTCCAGTAACCTGATCTCAGTGAAACCGGGAAGGAAGAGCTGACACAGGTTATCTCTCCTCATGTTCCATGGCATTGAAGAGCTATGGTATCCAAGATCCAGCAAATCCTCAGGGCTGTCACCGTACCCAAGTCAGTAACAGACCATCCTTACCAGTCAGGTATCATCTGATTCGATAAAAAGAGAGCTACCTCTGGCCTTCCAGTACAGTACAAGTTGGCTGACAAATACTACCAGGATAATACCAATGGCAGCAAAAAGTATTTGAGTGACATAAGGCAAGTTTGTGATTAGAGTGAACCACTCATATTTATGCTGGTTGCACGAAAGAGGAAAGATTAAAGTTAATACTGCAGTGGGCCGTGGTACCACTGGGCACACTGCTCTGCTCTCTGTCTTGCATTAAGAATTTCCCTCGAGGCATTGGCGGGGCAATGCAACAGATGATCTGAGATATATGGTTGCAGGTTGCTCTGGGCCAGAAAACTACTGACCTCCTTCAAGCTGTGCCATAGGAACAACTGGGGATACATTAAATCCTGTAAAACTTGTACAGCTGTCAGTCCTTCCTAGCACATTTCAATTTGACATCCAGAGTCAGATAATAAATGGTAATAATTTTTATACCATAACAATTTTTCATGTCGCTGAGTGTAAGTTTTAAGTACTGCTGTCCATTTGAGAATTGCACCAACTCAGTGTGGCATGAACTCACACACTGCTGTCAAGCATCTGTGTGTCATGTTCCACCCCTACACCTCCACAGCATTTTTTTTTTGGTTACCCCTGCATATGGGGTGCAGTGGAGCCTGCTGTGCAGGCCCCCTGCCCCTCTGCTGGACCTTCTCTAGTTGGCTGTTGCTTTGCTCAGAGGTGAGGACAATTCACTCAGCTGTGTTTCAGGTGTTTTCCTTTTTAATTTCTTTTTTCATTCTGAGATTGCTCTAGTAGTAATATGCAGAGCATTTCAAACCTTAAGGTAAAGGCTATTTGATGTGCTTACCTGGCAGCATACCTTATGTGAGTGTCCTGGCCATGCTCATGAGTTTGAATGAATTTATCCTCACATAAGTGCTGTGAGGTACATGCTGTCATTCCCCAATGTACAAGTTCAGAAGTGAGGCATGGAGAGATGATGTGACTTTTCCCAAGATCACAAGAAAGTCAGAAGCAGAGCAGGAATAGGTTATACGTTTTCTGCAGCAAGCACAAAGCATTCTTATTTTGTTATTGTTGTTTCAAAAAAAATCTGTATACTCATTAGCACTGACGAGAAAATACATTAGAGTCCCTGTTGGGGCAGTGCCAGATGCAACTATTTCTCTTATATGTAGTCAGTAGCTCTTATTTCATCTGATGTGATGGACAGATCTCAGTGAAAATGTTGGTACCGTAGCCGCAGCCTTTTTGCCTTGTCCATATACGAACAGAGCCTAGGCAAGTATTTGCATGAGCAAATCTTAGCATCTAGATATACTTTTGTTATTTTCACTTACATTTCTGGAAACACAAGTACCTCCTGCACAGACCCTTGGGAAGCCATGAAAACATGTTCATGTGCATATATATACATAAAACTTATGTAAGATCTGTGTCTTTAGACAAACATAAAGGGACAGGAACTTCTCGTATTCGTGTTTTCAGCCAGCAGTTATATGAAACAAAGTGCTGCTTAAAAGTGAACACAGAAGCTGATTTCATAAATATTTTCAGATCTGATTTAGAGATTGAAATTAAGAACAAAGTACTGCAGTATGTAAGTAGAGATTTAAGAATTACTGATATCTTTTGTTCCCAAAGTGCAGCATTTAGGTTTTCTTTACTTCTTTGTATTTACCTGCAAAGAAGCAAATTCACATTTTTTTCCTGTAACAATTGACCACTGAGCCCTAAGGCTCTATCTCAAATGGTAAAGGGAACTAAACCTCTTTATTCTTGTGTAACTCATTAGCTAACATCAGACGATTACAGCTAATGTTTCAATCTAAAACAATTCAAGTCCCTCATTAACAGGGTTAGATTTCCTTTGATCTAATTACTTAATGTCCCAGATCTATGGGAAATTCAGAGATCAGCTCTGAGAAATCTCTGCAGACATGGTCACATCTAGAAACCTGAACTTACATATAGGCTCCAGAAATGTTGTTTAAAATGTTAACAAGCCTCATTTAGTCTGCCGGTAATGCTTGGTCAAATATTCAATGAAATCACATTGATGATAGCTAGCGAATGAAGATGATGACTGGTTGCTGAGTATGAATTAATCTTCATTATTATAGGCAAGTGGATTGCAAATTTCCATAATTAAACATCCAGTGCACTGGTCAGATTCTGTTGTAAGGTTTGATAATTGCTGTTGTAGGGCAAACAGTACAGCGGGGTGTTGCTGTCACATGATGAGCTTTTGAGGCTGAGCTAATAGGGTGCCTGTTTAAAATGTTCTCCATGTTTTCTGCTTTAGAGGCAGGGGACATCATCATGGAGATTTCATCAAAAGAAAACACTCGGTTTTTCTCAAACACCACCACCCTTCATGTGGACCGATCTTCATTCAAATCTGAATCTTCCGCATCCAAGGAAAAACAGTCGTGTTGTGGAGGTATCAAGGTAGAGTAAGAGCTTTTGAATATTCCATTAGGGACTTAGAAAACCTCTTTTTCAGCGAACTATCCCTTTTTCAGTTCTGCTTATGTCTTGCTGAGTCAGGATGAAGTTATTAAAGATATTTCTAAGTCACAAAAAAAAGTCTGCTTCCAATCTGTATTTGCCTCACATTTGTCAGTGTTCAAATATAACATGTTGGTTGAGGTTTGCGTGTTATGAGATCTTCAAAGGTCATCCTGAAAGGTTGGTATATCCTCCTTATTGCACCACCCTATGTAACTGAAGTTAAGAACAGAGTATCGGCAGACAGGTAGGACAGTACAGGTTGCTTTTTTAAGATTGTAGCCATGGTAGTCTTCTGGGCTCTGAAAAATAATATTTGTATTATGGTCCATGTGTTTTGAGTGGTATATTATTAAAGTATTACTGTAATATTCCTGATTTGAGAGAGCTCTGCATGAGGTGGCTTTAAAACAAAACCGCAGAAGTATCACCGCCGCATCTGCATTTATCTCACCCATGCAAAGGGCTTCCTCGAGGCAATGGAAGCTCCCTGCTTCAAGCCTTGTAATGTGGCTGTACCTACCTGACAGTAGGACCACTGCACCTTGGAGGACCATTCCTCCCTGTACGGGACACTGGCATACGGGAGACGTCGTGATGCTTTGCCTACTATCTCTACCCGCTTTCCAAAGCCAGGCTGTAAAATGCTGACACTCTCTTGAGTGAGGTGTCAGTAAGCCACCATACGGCAATGAGATGAGATGATTTGAGTCGTATGGCAAATGAGACTTTGGCCTTGCCTAGTTCTTTTCATCTTGCACAGTCTTTATTTCTGTCGGGTTTTTTTCTCACACAAACACACGTATCTACTTTCAGATACTAACCCAGCTCCCAATACAGTCAATGACTTCAGCAATAGTTAACCTGAAGTCCATAAATTATGTAAAGCAGCTAATCTATTGAAGGATTAATTGAGTCTGTGGCTGCAACAAAATTATTTTGATTCCTGAATATTCTCCTTGATTTTGTCTGATCTTGTAAAGGCCCAGCAATGGGGTCCTGTTCTGAAATAAAAGATGAGTTGTGTTAATTAAATCTGTAGCATAATAGTAATTCTATCATTGTTCCTCCATTTGCTGCAGCAATAATCCGATTCCCTCATTGAATAAACCCTCAGTCACAGATTAGCTAGTCAGGAATCAGCTTATTAGCTCCAAAAATAGAAAAGCAATAATATTTCAGCTCACTCTCTTTCTGTTCCAAAAATTTTTGTCATCTGGAAACCCAAACCAATATGATTAACCTATTCCAGGGACTTAGAAAAACCTCTTTGGTGAACTAACCCTTCTTTAGTTCTGATTATGTTTTGATGAGTCAGTATGAAATTATTAAAGCTATTTCTAAGTCACCAAAAAAGTCTGCTTCAGATCTGTATTTGCCTAATATGTTACCAAAACAATATGCAGATTCAACAGGTTGTTTTTGCCAGTTATGAGCCTTCCCACATGTTAAAATTGCCTTTATTACCCAGAAAGATGTGGTGAAATATTTACTTACAGTCATTGACAAACCACAGAAGAATGTGAAATCACGTACACCTTCATGTCCCAGCTCTAAATTGGGGAGCATTTTTCCACCACTGCACGTGGTCTCCATCTCCCTCCTGGGACGGCTTCAAACCCAGCAGAAAAACTTGTGCCAAAGAGAGACAGATGTTTGAAGTTCTAGTTTGACCTATACGATTTTCTTGTGAAAAACCATATTTGCTTTCACATTACTATTTAAAATCCAAGAGCATAAACACACAGAAAATGTAAAATATTATGGCAATATTTTTACTAGAGAGCTCTTTGAGAGCCCTCACTGTGGGAAATAAGAACCAGATACTGTTTATTTACCCACAAGTGTTTCTGAAGGAGGAATAACCAGCACTGGATAAAGTGTGTTGAATGTGACACAGAGATATATTTGAACCTTAACACAAGAATTTGCGTTCAACAGTGATGCCAGTGTTATTACCAATGTGCCTTGTCAAATGAGATGTTGTAAGGAGTATTGCACTGGAGGTGAGTACATCGCTTCAGAGCACCTGCTTACTGGAAACGTGATTGCTCAGAGAGCAGGCCTAAGCAGTAGAACAAGGATCTAGATCTCTCTTTACACAAAACATTACTGTGTCTTTTAATTTCTTGTTTAGTTCGTTTTGGTTTTTTAACATCTTTTACAAAGAGCATCCCTACATACTCAGTCAACACAACCTGCATCTGAAGGTACAAATCAATGTTGCAGTTTCCATGACCAATTGCCTGACGTGTGAGTATCCCTAGAGCTTGTAAACTCAGTAACTCTGCATTCAGTGAAGGCAGATTTAGGCTCTGCAGGAGTGAAACAGTTGGTGCTAAGGACCCTGCACTCCCACTGTAGGCATTGCAGGGTGGGGGGTTACTTCAGACCAGCTCTACTCTTGTCCCAGAGACTGAAGAGCCATTGGTGGTTGAAGTGAATGTAATGCCCTTCTGGACCACATCTTCCAGTTTAATTTTGTATAAAAGGGATGCAAGTCTGCACATTTGCAGTATGTACCAAGGCACAGTGAAAGAGGCGGGAGCTTTATCTCCAGAGCCCACTTCTGATTCAGACTAAGACACTAAAACAGATATATTGATAACCAAGAGAAAATAGCTGCCTCTGCAAAACAAAAGGTTGAGAGAAGGTTGCCCCCCAGCAAAATGCAGTGTGCACTCAAAAGAAAATGTATGTATTAGAGCTTGCAAGCGTTCTGGTGGGGAAAGGATGAGCCTAGAAGAGAATTGCCAGTCAGGCCACTGTTCGACTCATGGAGCCATGTAACAGGAGGCAGAGACTTCTCCCTCCTGGCCACCCTGGGCTTTAGTGGGAACAGTTTACCAGAACAGGACTCTCAAATCCAGCAGACTGCAAAAGCCTATGTTAAAAAATGCCCAAATAACTCACCTCCCCACCAAGCCACACTTAACATTTACCCTTATTGTTATTGCATAAGATAGCCGCTTCTTGGAGAGATCAGGAGGGTGATCCATCTCTCTGTCCTTCAGAGCATCAGTAGCTTTGGCATCTACCTGAAATTAGCAGTGGCTGATAGCAAGTTCAGTTTATATCATTGTTGCTCATAAGAAATGAACAAATCGGCAATCTAGCATTTCATAAAAAGTAGGAGAAATATCAACGTGGTTATTTGGGAAAGGAAGAGGTGGGAATGTAAAAATTGTTTAAAACTAACACATAAAGTAAAGCCTTCTCTACTGCCTGATTTTAATCACTATCAATTTCTTTCACAGATATTTCTTGGTGCATTGTCTTTTGTTTATTTTGCTAAAGCACTATCAGGAAGTTATCTAAAAAGTACTATCACACAAATAGAAAGAAGATTTGATATCCCTTCCTCTCTGGTTGGCGTTATTGATGGCAGTTTTGAAATTGGTATGTGCTGTAGAAACCCATTTTTGTTTTCAGAAGAAAGCAGTGATGGAATTTGTGGAAAATGATTCTATGAATCTCCTTGAGCCATTAAAATTGAGCAAGATTCACCTAGTAAAAATCAGCATGGCTGTCAATATGATTACATTGGGTAGGATAGGGTTGCTAATACAAGCAATTCAACATAGTCCTAAATATTTTGTAATTTGATAAGCTTAGTGCGTGGCTAATTAACACTAACAGAAATTTTGACTGTTGAATGAGAATTTACCTGCACAGATTTCCTCTTTCTCTCTCCTTTTGTCAGCAATCCACCTCCCCCACAAGCGTTTGCCCTTTGTGATTTATTAAGCAGCAAGAGTACAAACCTCTAACCGTAATCTACCTTCATTGTCCAGTCCATCCCCCTCCCTCTTGCACTAAGGTTTCCAGAGAGACATCATCTCTTATGATTTCAGATTACTGAGTTTATCTTGTGGGTGTTCAGTGGACTGCGGTTATGGTGGGAATGAAATCTTAGCCTAAATGTTTAAAGTTCTGTTTGATTCTCTCTTTTCCTGCTTCCCTGGTTATTTGTTCTCTTCAGCTGGCACAGTCCTTCCACTTTTTTCCAGCTGCTTATCCAAAAGTTTATGGGTTTCTTATCACAGAAGGCATTGTGCTCCTGTAAGAATCCCTAGAAAGAGGGAGAAACACCAACCCCACACAATCAGCCCTCTCCCCATGAAATTGCTGCCTATATCACACACTAGGAATTGTTATTTTAGGGGATCTCTTGTCAACAAGCCGTAAAACTCAGTTTTCCTTTTGTACTCTCAAAGGGAACCTCCTAATCATAATTCTTGTAAGCTACTTCGGAGCGAAGCTTCACAGGCCAAGAATAATTGGAGCAGGCTGCTTAATTATGTCAGCTGGAACATTCCTAATTGCGATGCCCCAATTCTTCATGGGACGGTAAGTGCAAAGTGGTTGGTGTTTTCCAACTGGGCTATGCACACTGAATGTTGGCTCTCTAAAATATTTAGGTATTGATTGTGAAGATTCCCATAGAAATAGGCACATGTGGCTGTGGTTACTCAATTTAATATTTTTTTGTGGAAATACTGATTACTGTAGAGCAAATAATTTAACACATATGCTATTCTTAGTTGTAATCAACTTATCATTTTCTTAGTCTGTGATCTTGATCAGCCACACTTTGACATGGTTTAAGAGTTGTTGAAGCTTCAGTTGTGAAGTGATGATTAAACTCAGGAAGACAATCTGAGTATTAAACACAAGCCAGAGGATACACCCACTGTCTGATAATCTCTTAGTACAGATTCATGCATCACAGCAGAGCAAAATGCCTGTTAAATGGAAATGCATCACTGTAACACAAAGAGAAATGAAGGGACAATTTTCATGTTGTACCGCAGTATAAACTGAGTTCCATTTATCCCGGTAAACCATCATTGGCAGCACTAGATGCAGATGAAATTTGCATTTAAGTGCTATGGGCCTATCTTTCATGGTAGTAACAGATCTGTTTGCTTTTTCTTCTAAGTTGGGACAGTAAAACACAACTTTTGTTTATAAACAGATATCGGTATGAAAGATTTCCTTCCACCATCAATTCGACTGTTAGCATCTCTCCATGCCTGCAGGATAAAAGCCAAACTCCGCTCTCAACCTTAGAAAAATCTCAAGCAAAAATAAATGCAGGTGAGAATGATCTCTGCCAAATATTGTCAAAAGCACACTAAAATACATCAAAAGGTTCCCAAACTCTCATGCAATAGTTTATTGGAATGCAAAAAATAATAAATGGGAATCAGATGAATCTTTCCCACAGAAAAGCCAGGTTTACTGACTGGGGCAAATTTATTAAAAATAAATCTATAACTGCCACTGCCCACTGCCAAGAGTTTTTTCAGGCCGCAGCCTTTCCTCCAGCCTTGCTGTCTCCTCCAGCAACTTTGAGGCTTGCAGAAACACCAGTCTCCCATGGGGACCTTGGAAAGTCATGGTCTTCCCTCTGCCGGGAAAAGTGCCTTTAGATCCTCGGCCCACTGGAAAGAGCAGCTTGGGTCTCCCAGCTTGCAGACTCCCTTCTTGTTTCCCTCCCTGCCTACTGACCCGGTTTTGCACACCACAAAACTGTCTCCCCTCTGGGTGAGTTTTGGTCCTCATGGGCAAGGAGCCTTCCTCCCCAATGCTTGGCCATGAATAAGCTGCGAGTGATCAAATCAAACCCTCTATGTGGCTGGTAGTGCTCACTATTGTCAATGTTTCCCAAATCTTTACATTAGGAGACCCCAGTTTTGGTTAGAAGGAAGTGGAAAATGTTTCTAAAATGGGATGTGGTAACAAATTTATAAAACTGGCCAACTTCTAATATTTTTGACTGAAGTTCTTGTTAAACTTGTGTCCACCTCAAGCTGATTGGGTTAACATTGCCATTCCCACAGCTCACAAAACATTTTTCACAGTTTTCATACTGGTTTCCCCACATTAGAAGTATTTTAGAAGTCCTGTTCATTCAGTACCAAACTGTTAATGAAAAATGCATCATTGTCTCCCTTGTGATGTACCCAGGGTGTGAAAAAGAAGCAGGCTCTTCCATGTGGATCTATGTTTTACTGGGAAATCTTTTGCGTGGAATAGGTGAAACTCCTATCCAGCCTCTGGGAATTACATACATTGATGATTATGCCATTGAGGAGAATGCTGCCTTATATATCGGTAAAATAAATACTACTTTTTTTTCATGATGGATTTTTCCCCAGAGGAAACTGAGTCATTCTGAATAATGGCATGAGTGTTACTGAATTAACTTGCCCTGATTGTTTTGTTTGCATAATTTCCAATATTAAAGTTTATTTAACAGTCATGTACTCTCAAGGGACCAAGTTCCCCTTTAATTATACCAGCACAGTTCCATTATCTTAATTTGAGGAAAGAATTTGACCTTAGGTTCCTGCTGTTACCCTAATCTTCCTAATTCTTCTGGATGTGGACTGCTGAGCCTCTGTGCACATTCAGTTCTCTGGAAAGTGATAAAAAACATGTACTCTCTTAAGCACTTAAAATAGAATTTCTGCAGGCACTCAAAACATTCCCTCCAGATTCAGTTAAAATTATAAACAATAGTGCTGAGGCTTTAAAAAGTTGGTATCACTGTTTTCTGGTTGTGTTCATTGCCTGAAGACTTCTGCACATTCACCTGAAATATTACCAAAAAATCCTTCCCCATCAGCATCTTGTCTTGACAAGTTTCCAACCTGGCAAAAGGCAAAAAGTCAGGTTCTCTCAGTCTTCCTGAATTTCCAGATCAATTTTGAAGATTCAAAATATTCAGAAAGTTTGGCTGAGGGTTATTGAAACAGTTTAATATTATAATATACGAATATTTAATATACAAAAGCAAAGTGATGTTTCAGCCTAAACCTTTCTAGGTTTTTCACAACTTAAAGTGATCTGTTCACTTAAGTAATAGACATTTCTTTCCAGTTACTTTAATCGAGTTGGCTAGAGAGTTCCTAGATTGGTGCTGCTATTGAGTTTAGGTCATTAACTTCCCTATTTTTATTTTCCTTTGGGCTGAATTACATTCTCTAATTGGATGATAACAACAAAAGTCGAAGTGCCAGTGTAGTGGGGGACATTTTATTGTTGGCTTTTTTCTTCTTGAAAATGTTCTAACTTGTGTAACTGATGTGCCAGCAAGCAAAGGTTGGTTCAGTATTTTAAGACCGTATCACTGGTTACCCATCACACATCATACTTTGCTGCTAGGTACAGCAAGAACCAGTGCTCTTTTTAACTCAGAAGCCTAACAGTCCCCTCTTTTCTATTGCAGGCTGTGTACAGACAGTTGCAATTATAGGGCCAATATTTGGCTTTCTTCTAGGATCCCTGTGTGCCAAACTTTATGTTGACATTGGCTTTGTGGATCTGGGTAAGTCAGAAAATTCAGGTTTTAAAAATTCATCCACATTCCATAATGCCTTTTTTTTTTTTCTAGTCATCTTCTAGGTATAAGGGGCTAGCGGGGCTAGAGCAGGCCCTTTATGAAACAAAAATGATGACAGCAATGCCATGCCCCAGGCAGAAAAGGCCAGCAAGAAGGATGAGTATGGAGGAAGTAGGAGGCCTGACTCTTCCTCAGCCCCAGCAGATCTGCAGCTGGTGCCCCCCAGGAGATGCCCTGGTGAGGAGGCTCTGGGGGGACAGCAGGCACCGGGAGGAGGCAGGACTGAGGCTCAGGATCCTGCCAAAAGCTGTGTGCCTGTGTTTTCTAGTACACTGTTGCTGCCTAGAAAAGCGGTTCTGCAATGGGTATTGAGGCTCCTGATTGCCTTCCTCCTGAGAAAACACCTTCCACCCGGTTTTCCCCTGGCACTTTTGTGCAGAACAGCCTGACTGGAAGCAAGTGCGTGAACCGCCTGGACTACCCCATGTCCTGGGCCTTGCAGCCTCTCTGGGGATACGCGAGCGGCACAGCTGGGGACCCTGTGGTGTCAGGGGAAGGCTGCTGCTGTGTCACAGAATCAACAAGTCCTTATTGCCTCCCCACAACTGCTCCTGCAACACCCATAGAGACACATAGCACAGCTAAACCTGGTGAGATGGGGGTGGACTCCTCTGGAGAAAGTCCCTGCAAAATCACCTTCCTTCATCAGCAAACATTCTTGAAAAGCATTTATTTGTTTCTCCTTTTTTTTAATTTCTCCAGACAGCGTAACAATAACTCACAAGGACGTGCAGTGGGTGGGAGCCTGGTGGCTGGGTTACTTAATCGCTGGTGTGATTAGTGTTCTGGCCGGCATCCCCTTCTGGTTCCTGCCAAAGCACCTCCCGAAACCAGAGAGCAGAAAGGACTCAAATACCTCTTCCGAGCACTCAAAGTTCATCACTGAGGATAACAAGGATCAACACAAACCTTATCAGCAGCAAGTGAAGATTGCTGAGATGGCAAAAGGCAAGTCAGTAGAGTTTCTTTCCTGCCCATTGAGTCTTTCTCTCACTAGCTATTATACTTTATACTTTCTGAGGCCATGTTTTTATGGCCTCAGCATTAATTTTTCCCTCAGATGTCACTCTCCAGCTAACTAGTATGTACAAAAAAGGGTCTTCTAATTGTTCCCTGGACCTGCTCTTGCATACAGAATTTCTCCAGCTGAGATTTGAAAAATTACACTAGTAGCCCAGCAAATATGAAACTCTGCAAACACTTTTCATTCACAGATCTGCTGCAGAAGTGGGGGTCAAAAATATGACAACCTCAGTTTCTGCTAAATCTTTTTCTCTAAGGTCATTCATCAGAAAACCACATACAATATCTGATGGGCACAGAGTAGATACAGCATTTTAGGGGCTACCTGGATGTAGACAGGAACTGTTTCACACAATTACATTTCTTTGGCCCTATTTTTGCCAAAAGCATTTTCCCTCAGTACTTGGAATCTGTAACTCAATACATCTGTGCTTACTGTCAGCTGCGCTTGAGCTCCCTCTGCCCCCAAATTGAGCTAAAAGATGCTGTGGCTGTCGAGGACACCTAGAAACCAAATCAGTCCTGTTTTATGATGGAAAGAAAATAACTAAAATCAGGTGTCTCTTCTGGAATATTGATGCTTAATATTTTGCTCCACTGTTCCCCCATCCAGAAACGGGGAAGCTCTTAGCAGCATCATGGGACTTCATGGATTCCTTCTGTAATGTCCTGCAGTCCTTCTTTGGAAGGCGCAAACATGTTGCAAAGCATTATTCACAGCAGTTAATCTCTTTCTGACCTGGTTGTCATTTCTGCCATTTTGTCTTGCAGACTTCTTGCCATCACTGAAGAACCTCTTTGGGAACCCAGTTTACGTTCTGTATTTGTGTGCAAGTATCATTCAGTTCAATTCTTTAATTGGCATGGTGACGTATAAGCCAAAGTATATTGAACAACAGTATGGGCAAACATCTTCAAAAACTAATTTTGTTATAGGTAATGTTATATCTGCTTCTTGATACCTTAAAAACGGACATTTTAGGAGTGGCATATATATATATATATACCAGTTTACGTTCTGTATTTGTGTGCAATGGATTTTTTTTTAGGATACGTTTATTTCTTCTCCTTCCTTCTCTGGCTTTAAGTAGTAGTTCATAGAAGGTAAGTTATTTCATTTCTACTTTAGCACTAGTTCGGTCTGAGTATGCAAATGTTACTGCAAAAGTTCTCCATTCGATACTTTATTTCCCATTCTACTGGAAATTTGAACAATAATGAATATACCTCACAAGAGAATGATTGAAAAGACAATTAAATTTAAAATACACAAATTTGTCATCAGACAGATCTGTTCCCTTGCTGGCTTCCCATTTATTTCAATGAAATAAAGATCAACTCAGTGACTGGTAAGGGACTGACCATAAAGTAGCTGTGATATTGCCAGTGATTTATTTTCTGAAGAGGTTGGTGTTACATAAAAGGAAATCCAAGTCCCATTAAAAACTTAACATTATCTCAGTGTGATGCAGGTGAAGGAAAAATAGGTATTTCTGCCCTAATTTTACCTAAGAGCCTTTTTCTGTTGTGAAGTTAGTCTCCCAAGCCCTCCTGTGCAGCATGAGAGAGAGATTCTGCTTCTGCCTCTGGGTATCAAGGTGGCCATTTTTGGAGATGTCTTCAGGATGGTGAACTTCACTGCCCAGTTGCTGAACCTGCAGGCTTGGGTTCAGTTCCTGAAGTCCAGGGATTCAATAGCATTAGACAGCAAAGAGGTTTACATCCATCCAATACAGAGGGAACTGCCTTGTTTCAGAGCAGCATTAGTTGCACAGCAACAGAGGTATATATATGCAGAAAAGCTGTATTGATCCATTGTGCTATGTTAATTCCTTAAAGATAGAGGTTGGAATTTCCTGGCACGAAACTCCTAAAAGCAAGGAGAAATCTTCAAGTACAGTCAATGGCCAGAGAAAGTCCAGAAAACAATCCCTACATTCAGTACAGTACTTCTCATTGTATTTAAAGATTTTCTGGAGCTAAGCTTTCAGGTATGTGCAAACTGAATGAGGATTAAGATCCATCTGATTTCACAAAGTGTAGGGACTACATCCAACAGAGAATGTGAGATGGCTTGGCTAGGGAAGGATCCTGGCTGAGTGGCCATCCCTGCTGTAAGGTGTTTCACCTTCCCCGTTTACCACTGTCTCCCT